AGCGAGGCCTAAATAAGACCTAAATACGACTTTTGATTTGTTATAAATTCAACGGTATAAAACTTAATACCCTTGTCCAAATTCAGAGATTTAAATTATAATTTTATAATATTTATATTTTGCCTATTTCAAAATACTTTTCATTACTTTCAAAACTTTTTAACTTTTCACACATTTTCAATGCATTTTTTAATTCTAATATTAATATTAAATAATGCCTACGAGCACTTGTAAGTGTTTATCATAAAATAGAAAGTAAAATTTTCAATTTTTTTAAAAAAAAATAGAAAAATGAAATCACTACCAAGATGTCTTCAACTCTCGTGTTCCATTGAAACATGTACGTGTCAAAATCTTGATGGTCACCTACAAAACAAGCTTTGTTGGCCACGTGTCGATCCTATTAGCACAAGCCAAATGTGATCTAACTCTCATTCTAAACCAGGGCCCCCCAAGAACAAGAAAGGCCTAAAATTGTATGAATATATATAAACTAAAAAAAAGGAGAATAACCAATAATTTTTTTTATAAGTGTAATAATAGAAAAAAGTATTTAAAATTTAAATTTGAAAATAGTATGTGGCCAAAATTTATTTTAAATATAAAATTTATTTTACAAATATTAAATATGAATCATTTATTATTTTCGGATAAAATTATTTGAACTTATTACAAAAATGAAATGAGTGTACTATTTTTACTTAGGCATTATTTTTGTGATAACTAAATTATTGTATTAAAACTTGTTTGTATTTGAGGTATTATAATTGAAGTGCCTTGTTAATAACAATCACATGAACAATCATTAGAGAAAATATCAAGTAATTAAAATTTTAATATGCCTTTTGTACGTGTCTAACTATTTTTACATATTGATTTTATACTTTTCAATACATTTTTACATATAAATGGAGACCAAAGACTACTTATTGAGCCAACATTAGTGTTTTCTAGAATGAGATTTGTAAATAAACATAAATAGGACTAAATGAGATAGAAGAATTTTAATAGGATTAAATAGTAAAATAAAAGTTTCCTAAATGAGATTTACTAATAAATATTCATATCTTTTTATGCATTGTACTAAAACATAAAAAACATATAAGTTGTATTTGAATTATAAATTCATAAAAAAAAAAAATTGTACATCCTAATATTTTCCCCTGCTTATTCATTTATAAATTCAACAAAATACAAACATGCCTTGATAATTAAATTTAGGGTTTTTTTTAAGGTCTCTGGTATTAAGATTTTATAGCATAAATGACATTTAATATTTTCATAATGTCTAAGGTCCCTCAATTTGATCTAGAGAAATTTTATCCAGAGAAATTCTGGACTTCCAAAGAATTTCTCTGGGTTCAACCCAGAGAAAATTCAAATTTCTTTGGTTTAGAATTTATCTGGAACTATAAAACTCTGATTTGATCAATTTGTCTTTGGTTCTGCTGCTGCTGATTCAATCATAATTTCCTGCACAAACAAATTAATAGTTCTTTTATGCGTTTGTAATAGATTTTCTTTAAATTTAATGTTATGAATTTCTCTGGGTTCAACCCAGAGAAAATTCAAATTTATCTGGTCTAGAATTTCTCTGGATATAAATTTTTTCTAGGGAAAATGAATGAAGAATTCCTTTGGATCACTTTAAGCCAGAGAAATTCTCTCAAAATCAATGAAATTCCTAAAGAAACATTTCCAGAGAAATTCCCTTTGACCCAGAGAAAATTCAGGAATCCATATCTGGATCATCTGCAAAGAACAAATATAGGTTGTCTTCACAATCTTCAGATTTCCTGATGTATTCAGAAGCTATCTCTTGTGGCATTTTAGATTGAAGTTCGGATCTCTTCAACTCCACTTCAGATTGGCTCTTTGATTCCAGATCTGTAGAACTGGAGTCAATCAAATGAAGATCCATAGAACTGGAGGCAATCAAATATGAATCGGAGGAGTTGATTGAACAAGAATCAGAATTGATGGGGTCAAATCGCACCAAAGTCAAAACAACAGAAAGAGGAATCAAATAAGTACTCGACTTTCGGAAATGAACACAAGGCTCAATTTCAGATTTGCAAATTCTTCAAAATTTAAACCTTCATGACAACCTGGAGAGAACATCAAGTTTTCATGAATAATCCGGAAGAGTTCGTAACTCTAAAACTCAACTTTAGATTGTGCGGAAGGCTAGTTCGCACAAGATCAAACACCAAAATAAACTTTTCTACTTCCAGAGTTTGTAATCAAACCAAGAACAACAGCAGGTTGGACTGATTCACTCCAGGTCGCACGTCTCTCACCTTCTTTCTCGGTGCTATCCGAATTAGTGTTGAACAACCCTCCGAATCGGTGTTGAAACGGTTCATGGTTGATCGAATTAGAGAGAGAGAGAGAGAGCAAGAGAGAGAGAGAGAGAGAGAGATTACATCTAATTGTGGAAGTGAAAATCTTAGAAATGTGTTCATGTGTGTAGAAGGAGAAAGCGAGAGACCGGAATTTCTCTGGATATATGGATGTAGGATTAAGGGACCTTAGACATCACCAAATAATATTGTAGATCTCTTCCATCACCAAAAGTGGAAGAGGAACCTTAGACTAATTTTCCCTTAAATTTACTACAAAAAAAAAAAAAAAATCAAATTAATGGTAAACTTTTCCAACTTTAATAATTGAAGTTATAAATTTTAACATGAATTTATAAATCTCTTGTGAAGATACTACTGATTTGTAATTTTCTCTTATTTCAATGGATAATAGAGAAATAATTTTATTTTCATAATGATGCAAGTCCCTTGTATATGGTATAAGTCAATTTCTATTCTTGGTACAAGTCTTTTATGTAAGTCAAAAGAGCAATGTCAGAGGCCCTAACATTTTTACCAAATGTACTTATATAAGACATTTGATAAAAATATTGAGGTCTCTAACATTTTTCACGTCAAAATCATACTAAATTTTCTTTTTATCTATGTCATAATTATTTTATAAGTGTTCTACCTATTTTCAATGACTAGTACTACAAACTCACTCTTATCAATTTAAAAATAAATCTCTATTACACTTTATATAAACTCTATATAAAAATTTCACACCACACAAATTAATTTGAGCAAACTTCATTTTACCCCCTGTAGTTTGGGTCGGGTGCGGATTATCTTTTTGACATTCGAAAATCACCACATAACCTCCATGCGGTTTATGAACTAAAACACACAGTTAACATTTATGTCAAAGATAACAGACAATGAGAGTCACGCGTTTTTGTGGAAAGTAAATCAATTTTTAAGACAAAACTACCCTTCTTAAAATTTTAAATTTACCAAAATGCCGTTATTTTTCCTTTCCCCTTATTTCCATTGTTTCCCTCTCTACTCTTCCGGTTAATCAGTAAACTAGATATATATATATATATATGTATGTAGGACTGTTATCATTTTCAAAATAAAGGTTAGTTTCAATTACTTGAGAACAAAACCCACAATCATAATGCTTGTTGATTCACTAAATCCTCATCTTCATCATCAATATTTATAAACCTCTACCTGAAAAAAAAAAAAATAAAAAAAATAATAACCTTTATATATGTACGTGTTTAAACAAAATTAGTTTTCAATCTTCACTATGAAAAAAAATATATATAAATAAAGCACGAGCATACAAAGTTTTTTTTTTTTTTTTTTTTTTTTTTTTCAATTTTCACTGTTCATCTCTCTCTCTCTCTCTCTCTATATATATATATATATATATGAGTGTGTGTGTAAAATATAATTTGGGGATATTTGATGAATTAGATGATTTGGTGATGTTTGATGAATCAGAAATTCAAAATTATATTATTGATTTACTGTGCATATATATATGTATATATATATTCTTTAAGAAGATGATCAAACGTATCTAAATTGGACAACACCAATGGAAGCCCCAACCTCGATCTGCCATTATGCACCATGTCTTTTTCAACAGTTGAAACTTATTCAAAACAACTTCTATTATCATCCAGCCTCCATAGGCTTCAATATGTATGTGCACAATATAATTTTGAGGATATTTAATGAATTAGATAAATTGATAATATGTTTGATGAATAAAAAATTCAAAATTGTATTATTTGATTTTAGTTTTTTCACTATATATATATATATCTTTAATTGAGAAACATTATAATAAAAAAAAAAGAAGAGAGAGAAGAAGAAAATGAAAATAAAGGTATAATTGTTAATTTACAATTTTTATTAACAGAAGTTAGTATTCATTTTAATTTACAAACTCCATAAAAAATATATGATAATTTTCAAATGTCAAAAAATAATTCACATCGAATCCAAACAACAGAAAATAAAATGAAATTTACCCAATTAATTTTCATCGCAAAATTAGCCATTCAAAAAAAATCTGAAGGGGTGGCTGAGCAGACTGTCCATGTTCAATTTGCACAACAATTGATCACATCCCTTCTGCACATTTTTAATTAGTTCTAATAATCGAGAGGTTTCGGGCGGTGCAGCTCATATCTGTACGTTACAGAATGTGTGGACGTGCTTTTGGCAGCTCGGACATCACTACAGAGAAAAGGCCAACCGCCCAAAGACACGTCGTTTTCGTGAAGGAAAATGAGTAGGAGTATTAATTAGTACTACCACTAATGATGTTGTAGTAGGCTCCACTATAAATAATTTGATGTTTTGATTTTGATATTGTATTTTTTTTAATTTTTTATTGAATGTCATGTCATTAGTGGTCTTTTTAAAATTCTAAAATTAATAGTCTCTATCATTATTGTTTCATGAACTCCCAATTACCAAATAGACATTTAAGTCCTTCAAAAAAACCAAAAAAAATAAAACTAGTAAATGAACTGATTATGAGTAGTAACGTCGGCAATAGAATAACAAAATTAAAACTCACACAAATTCATCATTGGGTCCCACCACCCCTCCCCCAATGTCTACAAACCGCACTGTATATAATTCCACCACCTGCTCACCACTCTCTACTCACTCATTCACTTCAATCACTAACCATTCTAGAGGGAGAAAAAGTGTGACATTTGTTGTTGTGTTTTAGAGAGAGAGAGAGAGAGAGAGAGAGAGAGAGAGATGGAAGGGAAAGAAGAAGATGTGAGATTAGGAGCCAACAAGTTCCCAGAGAGGCAGCCGATCGGCACTTCGGCGCAGGGCGGCGACAAGGATTACATGGAGCCACCGCCGGCGCCGCTGTTCGAGCCGAGCGAGCTGACCTCGTGGTCGTTTTACAGAGCTGGGATCGCCGAGTTCATGGCAACTTTTCTGTTCTTGTACATCACCATTTTGACGGTGATGGGGGTTGTTAGCTCCAAAACAAAGTGTTCGACGGTTGGGATTCAAGGCATAGCTTGGTCGTTTGGTGGCATGATCTTTGCACTTGTCTACTGCACCGCTGGCATCTCAGGTTAATTTCCCCACCATTTCTACTCCAATTTTTTAAAATTCTTTTGCTTTCATATTATCATACGCCTGTTTGGAAAGGATTTTTGGACTAAAATAATTAATAAAAATAAAATAAATTAAAATAGTCGATAAATTATTACATTTAAATTATAATTATTTTAATTTTTCTCTCATAATCATCTAAAAAAAATAAAATAAAAATCAATCAACTTCTTAAACACTTTTTTTTAAATTTTTTTTTTTAAGTTAGGCTAAAATAACAAAAAAAAAAAAAAGTCAAAAAAACTAACTAAAATAACTAACCTCCCAAACAAGTCCAATATTAATTCATGTTCCATCGTAATTTTTGATAGTGATATTGAGAAATTATTAGTCGTGATATAATGATTTTTTTTTAATACACGTTTAATTTTTATTTCAATCAATAAATATATCGTAATATATAAATTAAAAAAAGATACTAATAGGTAGTCAAATCAATAAAAATGTTCTTTGAAAAAGGTAAAATTTAGGCTTATTTTTTAGTTAAGAAAAGGGAAAATTACACATATGAGCTAATTTAACAAAATATTTACGAATTGATGGTAAAATTTTTAAATCTAATTTTTAATATTTGCAAAATTTACCACTAGTTTGAATTTTTTTTTTCAAAAGAAACACTGAAACGTGATTTTCCTTAAAAAAAATTAGTTTATTTAGTAAATAAATCTACAAAATCTAATTTAAAAAAGCTTGGTATATTCTTAATTTTTAAAATTTTCCTAATACTTTTTTAAAATACCAAAGTTGGCATGTGAGGGAAATTTAATTTGACAAATGAATTAAATATTTTTTTAAAATAAATTCATTTTTCAACCACAGTGAAACCACCACTCGCTTTTGCATATTTGGGATTGATCGGATTAGGCCTCATTTGGAAACTAATTGTTTAGTTTAAAAAATAATACAACAATGATTCATCCCCTTTTCCCCTACCCTCTGTGACCCCCTCTCTCATTGGTTACATTTTCTTTTTCTTTTTCTTTTTTTACCTGCTCCTCCAATCACCACCCGTCACGTGCCAAGGGGGTGAGGGGTGACTCCTAAAAGGGGTCCCAAGCATTATTCAATATAATAATAATATATGACGTGATTTAAATTTTTTTTCCTCACAATTATTTATTTAATTAAAAAATCATTTGAACATACTATTTTATCTTCAAAAAATTATTACATATGCACAATTTTTTTTTTGTATAATTTTAATTATTAATACTAATAAAATTTATCAGTAATTTGTAATTATTTTTGAAATTACACACTGATGTAATTTTTTTTTCTTTTTTTACCTCATTAAAAAACTCAAAAAATATCAGAAAAGGCCAAACAATCACTAAAAAAAAGGCTAAATTAAATGAACCAATATTTTGATTTGTGGGATTTGTGTAGGGGGACATATCAACCCGGCGGTGACATTTGGGCTGCTACTAGCAAGGAAGTTGTCATTGACGAGAGCAGTGTTCTACATAGTGATGCAGTGCCTTGGTGCAATTTGTGGTGCTGCTGTTGTCAAGGGCTTCGAGGGGACGACCCGGTACGAGCTTCTTGGTGGTGGTGCCAACTCTGTCAACCATGGTTACACCAAAGGCGACGGCCTCGGTGCTGAGATCGTCGGAACCTTTGTCCTCGTTTACACCGTCTTCTCCGCCACCGACGCCAAGCGTAGTGCCAGAGACTCCCACGTCCCTGTAAGCACAAACACTTCTTCTATTTACACATAATTCGATTATAAAATCATAAACAACTCTTTCATGGGGAATGAAACCTATAAATTTGGTGAGTCCCGTATAATCAAAATTTTCACAAAATTTCTATCAGTTATTTTTTTCACTTTAAGTTTGATGAAATTGTTAAAATATGAATGATTGGAAATTTTTTTTTTTGCTTTACCTGAGTTGAGTTAGATTAGGTATTTTTAGAACAATTTTTTTAAAGAAAAAAATTTGAATCAAATCAAGTTTTTAGTCTAAATTTTTGAACAAATTTGATGTGAAAAAAAAAAATAGAAGGGTTGGACATGCTTGAAGTATACAATATCTAATATCAAATTGGAGGCAAATTTATCACATAAATCTGCTTTATATATGCATATTTGTGTATCGATTGATTCGGTTTATAATTTTTTGGTCACGGTGGGATGTAGATATTGGCACCATTGCCAATTGGGTTCGCAGTGTTCTTGGTGCACTTAGCCACTATCCCCATAACCGGCACGGGTATCAACCCAGCAAGGAGTCTTGGTGCTGCAATCGTCTTCAACAAGGACCGCGCTTGGGATGATCACGTAAGCAAACCACTCATTTAGGGTCCACACATGTAAAAATAATAAAGCATTGAGAGACGTCAAATTTATCACATAAATCTGCTTTATATATGCATATTTGTGTATCGATTGATTCGGTTTATAATTTTTTGGTCACGGTGGGATGTAGATATTGGCACCATTGCCAATTGGGTTCGCAGTGTTCTTGGTGCACTTAGCCACTATCCCCATAACCGGCACGGGTATCAACCCAGCAAGGAGTCTTGGTGCTGCCATCGTCTTCAACAAGGACCGCGCTTGGGATGACCACGTAAGTAAACCACTCATTTAGGGTCCACACATGTAAAAATAATAAAGCATTGAGAGACGTTGATTAATGTTCTGCTAATTTTTGTTTGGCTGTGATTGGCAGTGGATTTTCTGGGTGGGCCCATTCATCGGTGCAGCACTCGCAGCTTTGTACCACCAAGTCGTGATCAGAGCCATCCCCTTCAAGTCCAAGTGATGATCATGTTTGGATCCACCGTATGATGCTTTTATTTGTGGCCATTTATTGTCTGTTGTTTTGTTTTTAGGTGTGTATGTAATGAATGTCTTAGAAAATGTATTATATATCCATGTAATGGGATTTGTGGGCATGTTTGGTATTTTGATAATATAATCCAAAAAAGAGGGGATGATGGTTGATGGGGCCCAATCAGAAGGTGGAGATGGGGTGTCTGGATCATTGCATTTTGTGTGGAGTGGAGTGGACTCTGTAATGTCAATTTGGTCACAAGACAAATAATGATTCACCGACCAAACCAAACCAAACCAAGGTCTACACTTTATTTTTTTTATTTATTTTTTATTTTTTATAATGATTTTTGGACATGTGTGTTTTTGTCTCTTTTTGCCGTTGCTGGTGCTGGATAAGTCATTTCATGTTTGTTCCCATTATTGTGATTGTGCCGGTTGTGTTTAAGATTTGTTCCAATTATTGTGATTGTGCCCGTTGTATTTAAATTTGGAATTTGAACTTTAAATGATGTTCGGCCACAAAAATGATCTAGGAATGAATGTAGGTGAGGTCTGTTACATTAAAAATAAGGAAATTGCTTTGGAGCTTTAAAAATGTAGTTTTAAATTGGCATTAAATTGTCTTTTTTTTTTCCTTTGTTTCGTTTTTTTTGTTTTTTGTTTTTTTGTTTTTTTTGTTTTTTTTAAAGGGGTTGCTAGCTCAGTAGAATTGCTATTAGAGCAGTTCTATTAGAGCTCTCAATCACTGTCGTAAAAATAATAATGACACATAATTTTTTAAGCAAATTTGATATAAAAACTTGGCATTACTAAAAAATGTAAGCGTACATTATAAATATATCTTTAAAGTTTACTTAAATTATAAATTACTTCTTGTGCTTCTAAAAATTATATTATGTCTTTTAAGATTTTTAATTTTATAACAAATAGATTATTTTGTTAATAAATTATCAAGTTAATTAACAATTTTTAATAATATTAAAATTTTATTTCAATTAATAATTCAGATAATTTTATTATTGTATAAGTGAACAGTTATAAATTTTACTTTTTCAATTAATTTTGTTAAATAAAAAAAATCTGACAGGGAGGCATTTGTAATTTTTCAAATCACAAGAAGCAACTCGTATTTTAAGCAAACTTCATGGGGTGTATTTGTTAAGGTTAGCGTTGATGCTTTTTGCACTTTCTCTCTTTGTTGATGTAAGTTTTAGCATGTTTTGATTTCTTTATTAATAAAGTTTCATTTTACTGATAAAAAAAAAAAAAAAACTCTGATAATTTGGACAACTTGAATAATTCGGGTTTAACTCAGATTGAGTTTAGGTAAATAATCTTGGATTACTTACAATTCAACAATTCAAACCTTGATAGGTCTCACAACTTAAATTGAGATTAGATAACCTTCCAATCTGATCAAACTTGGCCAATTGCACCCCTACTAAATTCTCAATTGGTAAAGGATTTCCTAGAGACAAGGTAGCAGGGATTTTTTGTTATCTGTATATGTACTTTATCCTGTAAGAGTTATTAAATAGAGGAGTGATATCTATCTCTTGTCTTTTTATCACTCATTTATATCACTACCTGCTAACAATCAACCTGTGCTATGCACAGAAAGAATTTTTATTTTAAATATAGATGTTTTACCTACTGCCAATCAATCAGTTTTATTGATACCTTAATTGAAGACAATCAAGATAAAGATTACTAATAAAATGTCATATAGGTGGTAATATAAAATGATAGGAAAAAAATAAAGAGGTGATATATGGGAGCAACTCCTCTCAAAACTTCATCTTTTTCAAGAATTCACTCCGTGTACGTGGATCTTTGATCCAAGCCGTTTATCTCATACGTTTTAAAGAGAAAATTACATATGTAAAAACTAGTTTAATCAAATATTGATAGACACTAACTAATCGTGTTTTGTTTATAAAAAAATAATAAATATAATTTTAAATTGAAACGTTTATTTATAAAACAATATAAGATATATTATTATACTTATTAGTTTCTTAGTAAGCTGATATTTTACATATATGTTCTATTCTTCAATATTTACGAAATGAACTGTTCAGATTAACATTGTAAATCCTGTGAGGTGTCACAAAATAAAGTATTGAAAGTTATGAAAAAACTAAAATCTGGAGAAAAACTTCTCCCGTGATATGTAGGAAGTAGTTCACCTCCAGATCTCTTCTCTTCTATTGAGAACAGAAAATGAGAGATGCATAGGAAAATTCCTCTCCCTATCTGTCTTGTCTTCTACGTCTTTATTCTCCTCTTCTATACAAAATAGCAACGATAAACCCTAATTGATTCTTAAAAACATGTTTGTATTGATGCATATAAACTAACTAAATCCAGAGCTTCAAGGTCAACTATATAAAAAATAAAAACATCAAAGTGAAGACAATTAAGAAAAACAAATATCATATCAAATAACAAAATGATTATAGATTCAAAATATGTTTATAAATTAACCACGATCAATTTAGTATCATCATATATATATATATGCAACAGATCTCAAATTTTTTTTTTTTTTTTTCCATCTAGATCTTAGGCTACAGAATTGTTGAAACCTTCGAGCTCGGGGAAGAAAGAATGACGCAGAATGACGCAGATGACTTAGAGAAAGAAGTGCTGTTCTCGACTCTCGGGCCACCAACCGAGCATCGCAAAGCACAATGGTTAAGATGCCAAAATTGCACAATTCAATGTAAATGAATGCACAAATAACACATAAGGGCCTTAACCTCTATCATGCATGATCAAGAGGGTCGACAATCGAGAATTGAGGCACGTTTCATCACGTCAAGTATGAAACGTCCCTCGTTTCTCGTGTTTGGACTAACACCCTATCCAAACACAATGCAATGCATGCACATGGAAATACAATGCAATGCAACATGAGCATGGGAAGTATAATGTAAACAACACGAGCATGCAACCACATAATGCAATGCAACAAGCATACAATAACATAATGCAATGCAACAAGCATACAATATGCTATTCTACCAATGCTAGGATATCATGCATAAAATTCCAAACACAATGCAAGGCATGCACACACTATGCAATGCATGCACATGCAAACAACATGGAATGTAACAACATGCGAACGAACATGCGAACGAACATGCTCAATGGACTTAAGCCGAATATGGACAGACCTCAATCATGCCCAAAACAGTGGCCATAATGCTAAAATGATGGCATGAAATGCAAAACAAAGCATACACATGCTCTAGCGCACCAGCTAAGCATAAAAGCATAACTCTCAAACATGAGCAAGGAGTGACAAACATGGAAGTGTGACAACACTATATGCACTGAAATGTCATGTGAAATGGTGTCAAACCATTCAGACAACACATATATGTCATGCGAGAATCCTTAAGCATGAAAGCTAGTGAATGGGACTACACAAGAGGCATGCAATGCATGGCACAAATGGATGAACCAGCCACAAACAGAGCTAAAATAGGTCCAAACAAGGACCAAAACATGCTGAGATGAGAGCTCAAAGGTCTAGGCATGCATGCATACGAGCTAGGCCACAAATAAGGCAACAATGGCATGACCCTTAAAGGCACTCAAAGGGTGAGAGAAGTGGGAACATGGAAAGTCTATATGCTTTGAAATGTCATGGTAAATGATGCCCAATCATGTACATGTCACAAATGAAGCATGCTATGGTGCTCAAAATTTGAAACTAGCATAGGCACTTACACTATAGCTATGCAATACATGAAGTATATAGCCAATACAACCCAAAACAGTCCTAGAGCATGTCAAAATGATGCTAAAACATGCATGGAGAAAAGCCAAAACAAGCTAGCATGAAGGGCTAAAACATGGAGCATGCAAGGGCAATAGGGAGGATTACACTGCACCTATCAAAACCAAGCATGAGGTGACTCCACCAACAAAAATTAGAGTTATGGCATTGAAAAATAACACCCAAAAATGGGCTAAGACCAAGTCAACACATGCAAGAATAACAAGCTTACTCATTAGGCATCCAAGGCTAGCGAAGAGGACTTACACTACAAGTGTAAGAAGCAAACGAGGGATGTTCTAACCAACCAAAAACAAAGTTGTACCATGGCAAAATGAGACCCAAAACACACTGAAATGGTGGCCCAAAAGCCTAGTGTAGACACCCCATTTTTGACCGTCCGCAAGACTTGGACGTCACTGCTTGAACACTCGGTGATCATCCATGTTTGTGTTCGTCTTGAGTTTCTGGAGGCCTCGGCTGCGCGCCTTGCCTCAGAATCTCTCGACTCGACTGCTTTGTGTCAGGTTTTGCACCAAGAGCTTGTGGATGTGTTCCTGAGGACAGGGGGGGAGCCTGTCGACCAAGTCTCCTGCCCACCGGCCACCTTGATTTTCAATCGGCCAAATGTGATGGCCGACCGGCCAATTTGACTGCCGGTCGACCACTTTGATGGCCGGCCGGCCAAATGTGGTTTTCAACAGATATTTCTTTAGACAGCTGGCAGCTGTCATTCCAGGCCATACCCTAGCCCATGCCTGGACGTGGGAGCTCTGAGGAGCTGCAGATTGATATATTTCTATATCAATCAAGCTTCTTGACAAGGAAGAGATACACAAGGAGAGAAGAGAAGAGAGATACAACTTGGAGAAAGAAGAATTTTCCTGTCTCTCTAAAAAATTCTCAGCTCTCTCTCCCTATCTCTCTCTCCCAAACCCTTCAAATCCTAAGGTTCTTGCACCCTTTACACTACACCTCCAAGCCTACGACCTCCATACTCCATTCCATCAACTTGGGACTGATTTCCAGAGGCTAGAAGCTCATTTCCTTGGATCAAAAGCTGTTGTGTTGTTCTTCTACAAGGGTAAGCTCCTATGTTCCTCTTTTTTGCACTATTTTGCTCTATATTTTAGCTCCTTTTGCTTATATTTTTGGGCTCCAACCCAAACTAGAAATAGTCTTATTTTGAGCTAACCTTCATGTTTGATCAAGGACCTTTCTCTTTTTGAGGTCTCCTCCTCACCCTTTGTGTTTAATCTCTCTTTTAGGGCTTATCTCGCATGGTATTTTAGCCCTATTTTTGAGCATTTCTGGGCTTTGAGCCAAACTATGAAATGCCTTATTTTGAGCCCCTCTTCAACTTTGTTGAAGGGCTCTTCACTGTCTGGAGCCAGCTGCTGTCCCTTGTCTCTAATATCTCTTTTAGGGCCATTTTTGCATAATAGATTAGCCCTATTTGTGTTCACTTTTGAGATTTTTTATAAACTGGAAAAAGTCTCCTTTTGACATTATATTCATGTTTGATTGAGGCAATTTTCTTGTTTGAGGTCATATGTTTCTTGTTTGAGGTCATATGCTTCCTTGTATGCTTGATTGTCCCTTATTTTGAGCCTTACAGCTAAGCTCTTGT